TGTGACATCAGAGTGGCACAAACTGGAGGTGGGGATAATTACGGGTTGTACCATCTCTGTGATCCTGTTTGCAGTGGCTATGAATATGATTGTCAAATCGGCAGAGCCTGAGTGCCGGGGGCCCCAGAGTAGAGGAGGGGTCCGACAACCGCCGATTAGAGCATTTATGGATGATCTGACGGTCACCACACAATCGGTGCCAGGAGGCAGGTGGATACTCCAAGGGCTGGAAAAGCTCATTCGGTGGGCTCAGATGGAGTTTAAACCAGCCAAGTCCCGTTCGCTAGTGCTGAAGAAGGGCAAGGTTACGGACAGGTTTCATTTCAGTATAGGAGGGGCAAAGATACCATCATTGTCAGAACAGCCGGTGAAAAGCCTGGGCAAGGTTTTTGACAGCAGCCTCAGAGACTTCGCATCAGTCCAGGCAACCTGCCAGGAGCTGGATAGCTGGTTAAGAGCAACAGACCGTTCTGGCCTCCCCGGCAAGTTTAAAGCGTGGATGTACCAACATGGTATACTGCCAAGAATACTCTGGCCGTTACTTGTGTATGAGGTTCCAAATTCTACGGTAGAGACCTTGGAGAGAAAGGTCAGCAGTTGCCTCAGGAGATGGTTAGGGTTGCCTAGGAGTCTCAGTAGTATAGCCCTCTATGGAAACACCACAATGCTCCAGTTGCCCCTGAAATCCTTGGAAGAGGAGTTTAAAGTGACTCAGGCACGTGAGGTGCTGATGTATAGAGACTCCGACAACCCAAAGGTGGTTCAGGCAGGAGTGTTGGTGAGGACAGGGAGGAAATGGAGCGCTCAAGCCGCTGTGCTGGATGCACAGGCTCGTTTGAGGCATAAAGAGCTTGTGGGAGTGGTGGCACGAGGTAGAGCAGGCTTGGGGATGTGTCCAACACCGCCTCGGCGTAGAAAGCGGAAGGGGAAGGAGGAACGTAGCTGTATATATGAAGAGGTTAGAACTGCTGTGGATGAAGGAAGGACTAGCAGAGCAGCCGGAATGGGACAGCAGGGAGCCTGGACCAGGTGGGAGCAGGCCATGGACCGCAAGGTTACCTGGACGGAGCTCTGGCAAAGTGAGCCGCACCGTATAGCATTCCTGATTCGAGCAGTGTATGACGTCCTGCCTAGTCCAGCAAACCTCTGCATGTGGGGAAAAGCAGACATACCAACTTGCCATTTGTGCCCAGCTTGTGGGACGCTGGAGCACATTCTGAGCTCCTGCCCAACAGCGCTCGGCCAGGGTCGTTACACTTGGCGTCATAACCAGGTGCTGAAAGTTATTGCAGACACCATCAGCAAAGAGATCAGTAAAGGC